TTAAATATCTTTATTTATTTTTATGTCGTGCTGAGGATTGAACCCAGGGCCTCCTCACATGTGCTAGGCGAGCACTCTACTGCTGAGCACTCAAAATGCGTCCATTTTAAATATAGAGTTTGATTGAGTTTGACAAATGTATAGTGTGTGTGCCTTGTCTGATGCTGCCACCCCAATCAAATACAGAACATTTTCATTACCCCAAAATATTCCTTTGTACCCTTTGAAATCAATAACCAGCCCAAGGCAACCACTTATTTGTTTCCTGTCACTGTAGATTAATTTGCCCATTCTAGAATTTGATATAAACTTATTCATGCAGTGTGTACTTGTGGCAACCATAAACATGTACCACTGATGTCTGCCTATGGAGAGTATAATCAAGTGATGGGGCCAGGGATGTAGCTCAGTGGTAGAGCACTTGTGTGGCATTTGTGAGCCCCTGGACCCAAATCTTAGCATGGCCAAAAAAAAAAAAAATCAAATCTTCATAGGAGTTTTGTGTGTGTGTTGTTTGGTTTGGTTGGTAATGAGGACAGTATCCAGGGCACTCTCTACACTGACCTAAAACCCCAGCCCTTTTTGATAGTTTTATTGGTGCATTATAATTCCCTTTGAGACAGGGTCTTTTCTTTTTATTTACAAAAAAAAATAGTATTTATTTTTTAGTTGTAGCTAAACACAATACCTTTATTTTATTTATTTATCTTTATGTGGTGCTAAGGATCAACAGGGTCTTGATAAGTTGTCCAGGCTGAGGGCTGGGGTCGTGGCTTAGTGGTAGAGTGCATGCCTAGCATGTGTGAGACACTGGATTCAATTTTCAGCACCGCATATAAATAAATGAATAAAATAAAGGTCCATCAACATCCAAAAAAAAAAAAAGTTGTCCGGGGGGCCTGAAATTTATGATTATCCTGCCTCAGCCTCCTAAATCACTGGGATTACAAGTGTGAAGCACTGCTCCTGGCTAACATGTGATCTGGCTCCTATTATCTCCTATTCTTCTTTCTCTCACTTTTCTGCTGGAGTCACATTAGGTCCCTTGTATTTTTTGAATATGCAAAGCATACTACTACCTTGAGGACTTTACAATACCACAAAATCACAAATATTTTTCCTCTTCTTTCTCTTCAGTTCTTTCTTGAAGATCCTTCATAATACACCTTAACTTCCCTTTCCAACCTTTCCTCCTGCATATATTCTGCATTACCCCTTTCATTCAGTCAAACTAAACCATTTATCTTTCCCTCATTCTGTACTTTCTGTTTAGGCTATCCCTTTTTTCTTGAATGATTAATTCCCGTCTAGGTATTTAGTTACATTTACCTTTATGCTTTACTTTATGTGTAAACTAAGGTTTCATTTCATTCCATAGATAATTAGGAATATGACCTAACTAAACACAGCTTCTTCTGTTAAACTGACTTCCTTGCCAACTACATGAACTTAGGCAAGTTGCTTACCTTCTCTAATAAAGTTGCTTTATTCTTCCAACCTATACAATTATAATGATAGTACCCTACCTTATAGGGGTTTTTTTGGGAAATAAATGGAACAACCTCTTAAATATGTTTAGCACAATGTCCATAATTTATTCAAAATTGTTTGAGTACTCACTGTATGCCAGCAAATGAAACACACAGAGAGTATTCCCTTGATAATGCAAAATTTGATTCACACAGTCATGATCTCAAAATTGAGTAATGCCATACACTTAGGTTTGAGAGTCCCCCACAATAATGGAAGTAACAAAGGAAGACAGTATCCATAAAGGTTTCTTATTCACATTGAGGATCACTTTCTTTATAAAAGAACATGGGGCAACAGGATAAAAATGAAATTTCTTCATTTTCCTTCACAATGCTCTGTAGATGGAAGGTAAATTCAATGCCTTTGTCCTATCCATTTACTTAGTGTGAATAAATAATAATTAAGAAAATTACTCAATAAATATTTATTATGGGCCTCCTCTGTGGAGCACACATAGTAATAATTGCAGCATTTCTCATCCATTTCAATCTTTCTAGAGATTATTGTACTCAGAGTCTTTTTAGAGGCTGTTTTACATCTGTCCTTTATAGATGAATGAGCTGTTCATGCTAAAAGGTGACCTTATGACTGCTGGTATGCATTATAATCATAGTATTTTCCCAAAAAGTCAAGGATAAGCCTCTGACACAGCAATCTTGTAATCCAACACGCTTCTCTCTGTATGAAGAACGCATCATAAGCAGAACTGAGTACAGGGTGGGAATCTGAGCTGTGTGCAGCTCCCTTTGGATATTTTGGTTGATAGGACCATACCATCTAGCAGAGTATGCTGGAATTCTGCCAAATGAGCTCAAATCCCCAGAAAAACTAATGACATTCATCAGGCTAGAAGAGAAACCAGCATCTTTTCTTTATGAATTACCAAAGCTCTTTGAAATCTTATGAAGATTTTAAACACTACGAAGATTATGATGTTTTCAGGCTGGGATTATAGCACAGTGGTAGAGTGCTTGCCTAGCATGTGTGAGACACTGGTTTGGATTCTCAGCACATATAAAAGTAAATAAAATAAAGGTCCATCAACAACTGAAAAATTTTTTTTAAAAAAAGATTATGATGTTTTCCCTTTCCCATGCATACACATACCTCAAGATGAATGTGATTAATTGCCACAAAAGTCTGATTTTTCTCATTTGGCAATTTCAATATTTTATTTTTAATACAAAATATGAAGTTATTTTCAGAAAAAATTATAGAGATGGCTCTCCCACTGTGTAAATGTGCTTATTTAGTTTACTTATTGGATAATTCACCACCATATATTATGAACAAAGAGAGGCCTGGAGCTGAGAACTCCCTAATTGGTTCAAACACAGCCAAAGCTATAACACCTTTCATAGTATTTGAGATTTTATTCTATCTTTTGTGTTGTACCCATTCCAGTGAGCACCCAAGGCAAGAGCTTATACTACTGCCTTCCTCTTCTAACTACCTTTTTCAGTAATACACCCTTAAGAGACCCATTACACAATTTAAAGGTCCTTCAGCACAAACAGTTTGAAAACATTAGTTGTACCACTATATCTGCCAATCTTGCTTGGTAAGACCGTGGAAGAAGTTACAGAATGAGGGAGTTCCCAAAAGCTCTTATGTGGTCAATACAGGGACTGACAGTTAAATGAAACACTATAATAGACTCCATAGTCACCTTGTACACCCTCGTGAACATACCTCACATTCATGCATATTGGCAGATCCCTAACAATCCCCCTGGATGGGTCTTTGAATGACATCCTTTTACTACTAGGCTTCTGCCACAGTACGCTTCCTAAATGTTTACAGGTAATAGGTGAAAACCTACTTTATAAAAACCTATTATGTAGGAACTGGGGCTGGGGCTTTGTGGTAGTGCACTTGCCTGGCATGTGTGAGGCACTGGTTTCAATTCTCAGCATCACATATAAATTAATTAATTAATTAATTAAAGATCTATCAACAACTAAAAAAAATTTAAAAAACCCTTATTATGTAAAAATATGCTTTGTAATTTATATATGTATTTTCTTAATTTTTTATACAGCTTTCCATATTTTGTACATATATGCATCTGTATTTTCTGCCTTTAGTTGTAAAATTCTAGAGCACAGATGTGAATACAATTTTCTTTTCAGAGCACTCTGAATAAACAGTATGTGCAATCTGACACTTAAAACTATTTTCTGATAATATGATGGAATCATCACCCAGTGACTGGGAAAGAGAAACCTGTAGCTAACCTTTCTGACATTGTCTGCCTTTGACAAAGGTCCTGCTGAGTACTCATCCAGCACACATAGGTGATTTTAGTTTATCATAGTCTATATTTACAGCTATAATTAATAAAACCCAACTCTAGCAGGATCTGAGATTCCAGACCTGAATTTCTGCCCCGATACCGTCCAATCAGTTGCAATCCTTTCCTGTACCATTCAGATCTATTGTCTATCCTGTGTTAGACTTGACGAAAGCAGAGCTTCTGGTTAACTGCTACTGAACCTTACTCTGAGACCCTATGCCAGTTAAAAGCCTTAGCTCTAGAGTTGCTATGGAAACTGTCCCCTACCTATTCCCACAATCCATTCTGACTCTCTGCCTCCACATAGTACTCTTTTCCAATTGCAGACAAGGAGGCCTGCACATCTCTTCATGCTGTTTTCCAGATTCAGAGCTGCAAATGGGGGTGGGGGTCATTATCTCATGTCATATGGAGTGAAGCATCCCCACCAACTAATGTTCTACCAGTACTCATTTCCCTTTCTCTGCTACAAAAAGGATTTTCAGAGACATGTTCAAATTGGTTAGAGAATGCAATGGCTGTTTTGCCATAGCACACGTTCCATGCTAGGGACCAGGATTGCTGTGAGGTATTTGACAAATAAACACTGCACAATCAGAATGTGGTTCACAGACAGCCTTGCTGAATCAGGTAATCTGCTCCTTTCTACCACCCTCTACCATCCCCAAAGTGTGAGGTAAATGATACCAAAAAAAAAAAAAAAAGAAGAAGAAAGAAGAAAGAAGAAGAAAGACAGGCCTTCAGTCTGTACATATATGCACACAATGATTCTTGTATCCTGGTAAAAGAGGCTGTAGTGCAGAACAGGCAGTGGAAACACCTGGAGGAATGGGTTGGTGGGGTAGACTCACAACACCATTTTTATAAAGACATTCCAGTAAGTCATAAAACATTGCCAGGCCTCCTCAATTCTCCTTCCCATTCCTTGATTCTTTGGTTTGGGAACCATCACCTCTTTTTTGGTTCAAACATTACCCCTTCTGTTTTGAGAACTCTCTAGGGCCTCCTAAGGTTACTGATTTCCCGGTGTCACATCACTTGTAGTTGGGAAGGTCTTTCCTGGGTTTTACTCAAATCCCCCTTGCTGCAGTCTGACCTCATAGCACTCATGAGTCCTGCACTCAGCAGAGATGGAGACTAGCCAAACACTATCTTTGGAATAACAACTCACCAGGGACTCAGGGCCGGAAGGTCATTCTGTCCCAATACTGCGCAGCCTTTCTGAGCACACCCAGGGCCTGGGGCAAGGACAGGGAAACAGAGGATGGAAACCAGGACCCTGGCAGGCAGTGACAAAAAAAAAAAAAAAAAAAAAAAAAAAAAAACCCGCCAGACGATAATACAGACGCACAAACACAGATGGAGACGATATAAACTCGGAGACAGAGGGACAAGATGGCTCCCTCACTTCGGGCGAGGCTGCGGAATTGCCAGACAGTACCAGACAGTACTTATCGGGGACACATCCTAACTAGCGGCTTCTTATGGAGCCAAGGCAATCGACTGGGCCCTCCGCTGGGTCCCTCTGAGCCCCTACTCCAGCTCAAGTCGGAGTGGAAGCACCTTCTGGAACACTGGAGGGGGGTTAAAGGTGACGGCCACCACCCCCAACCCAGCGAGAGCGCAGAGCCAGAGGCTCGGGTGCCCCAGCCCGGCCCCTGCGGCGTCAGTGCACCGCCCTCTGACAGGCAGCGACCAATGAGCGGCTCCTGCCGCCGGCCTTTAAGAACCGCGCTCACTCTGTCTGCAGCGGACGCTGCCGGCAAAGCACTCCACCAGAGTTTCCATGGAGACCGAGGCCCGGCCGGCGCGGCCTCGCGGCGTTGCCATGGAGACAACTCCCGGGCTGGAGCTCGGAAGCTCGGGCTCACCGCCGTCTCAGAACCCTGCGGAGTGGCTGTGCGAGACCGAAGCCGCGGTGGCGGCGGCACGCTGGGACCTGAGAAAACACTCTTTGCTCATCGTGATCGGCGATATCGGTACCGAGAGCCAGCTGAGGGCCGTGCGGGCCCACCTTGAACAAGGTGAGCTGCTGTCCTGGCTGTGCCTGCAGCACCTCCACCCTTGCTTCTCTGCCATCTGCATTCATCTCCCATTGCGCACGTCTGCGTGCTCCATCCCAGTCCGCACTTCCAGAGACACGCGCCCCTGTCACCTGCATCGTCCATGCCTGTGTCCGTATCCTTCCAAGCTGCTAACAGCTTGCTTCCCCATCCTTTCCTCACATCCGGTGCTACTCTGCCATCTCCATGAGTAGGGGGAACTCTGTGCAGCCCCTAAAGCCCCTCTGGTCACACCACACCCCTCTCCCGCAGTGTCCTGAAAGTCCTCACCATTCCCTGTAAAGTCCATGTCCCTACCTTCAGTTTCTTCTTTAGGTCCCTGAACCGCACAGGGAAGTTTCTGAACGCGGCGTACAAATGTCAAATCTCTGAATGCCAGCAGCCAACGTGAGAGTGACCTTCGGGACCATCAGCTCTTCAGTCCTCACCTCCTTCTCCTGTGCCTGTGGCGCAGTGCTGCGGAGCCACCTGCGGGTGGAAGCTAGTCGCCTAGGGGTGGAGGAAAGGAGAGGGGCATAGAAAGATAGAAGGGAGAATCTAGAATCTGATTAAGATGTAAAGACCAGGAAGGCAGTCCACAGTATAGGTCCTTTAGGGTCTACTTTTACCAGAACTGGGCAATCTTTCTAGAAAATTGCTACCTATAAATTCATTAATGACTGAGTTTAATCTAAACTCTGTCCTCCTCTGGCATTGGTAAGAAAGGGTACAGGTTAGGAGATAGACAAAGATACTAATCATCCTCCTTAGAGATAGCTGATCATGGCAGCTGTCCTGATCCCCTCTTTTCCTTCCCCTTATGTGAGATTGAAAGTGCTTCCTGCAGTCCTACCCACTAACTCTATCTAGAATCCTCTTTGTTTCTTTTCTCTCACAGGGATTCTCTCCTGGAACATTGACTTATCATCCTTTGACTTGAACCAACAGTTGAGACTCTTCATTACCCGGCACCTAGCTCACTTCTCCTCAGAGGTCAAAGGTTAGGACTAGTGTCATTTGTCTCAGTGCTTTGGGTGAGGGCTGGTCACAGAAAAGCAGAGGTCCAGTCTCCCTGGCAGAACTGGAATTGTGGGAGGTGTGGGTGGGGGAGAAGGGAGGATTCCTGATGGAAAAGTCGAAGGTCTCCATAGCTATTTCCACATGCCCAGTGTACTTTGCAGACTCAGGGTATGATAGTAGAAGGAACCTGGAGAACATAATTTCTCCAAAGAGAATTGTCTGTGGACAGCTGTTGCCATGTTGAGGTATTCATTTTGACTGATCAATCAACTCTCATGCAAAAATCCACTCTTTTCATTTGTGTTCCCCTTTCTGCATACTCCATTCTGCATCCCTGCTTCCCTTTACAGACACCCCATAATGTCCCACTCACCTTCCCAGACTCTTGCTTAGCAAAGTCTACTCTCCAGGATTCAGGGTTTCTACTTCTGCCTTTGGCCTAACCAACAGATCTCCAGAGTAGACAGAATCCTGGTGCCAAAGGCTAATAAGAACCATCAAATCCAAGATGGAAAGATGGGTTCTCCTGGATTTATTGTTACAGGAGCCAGTTACAGTGTGAGATTTGGACTGAGATCAAAGCTTACAGAAGGTGATTTCTCATTCTGCTGGGTCTGAGAAATGAGTTTGATTTGAGAAAATATTTTAAGAACCATCATTCCATGACAGAGGGGAGATTACAGAAAGTCTTACATCCTGTTATAAAAGTACCAGGTATCTAATCATCTTATTGGTAAATTTTGAAAGCTTGACCACGTAGCTTTATAAAATATAAAATCCATGCCACCAAGTAACTGAATTCACGTATAGATAATTCTCAATTCTTTAACGTAGATAGTCACCTCTCTTCTTCCTGCTCTTTCTCTTAACTGTCAGAAATGTTTTTGTTGTGTCTTGATCACTAACTGCTCTAGAGATGCTGCTGAAAAGGTTAATATGACTAAAGCTCCATTACCTTAGGAATATCTGCAGCAATTAAAAAATGTGAGGCTGTCATCTTTCTGATGTTATTGGCTTCCTGTAAAGCTAGCCATAGCCATTTACTCTTTTGATACCATCTTCTATTTATTTGTTTATGAGAGGTTGGTACTTTTTTTTTTTTTTTTTTTTTTTTGGTACTGAGGATTGAACTCAGGGGCACTCAACCACTGACTACATACCCATCCCTATTTTGTATTTTATTTAGAGACAGGGTCTCACTGAGTTGCTTTGCACCTCATTTTTGCTGAAGCTGGCTTTGAATTTGCAATCCTCCTGTCTCAGCCTCCCCAGCCACTGGGATTACAGGCATGCATCACTGCACCCTGTGAGAGGCTGGAACGCTTAATTAAAATGTTTGGTAATGAATAAAGCAAAGCAGAACTTACAATGACTGAGTCCAAAATGACCTTTCCTACCTCCTCAGTTTCATGGGAATGAGAACTGTGCAGTTCCTGTCACCCCATGTCAGAAGGACTACAGCTTGTTTGTCCCTATCTTGAAATTCTTAATGATCTTTTAAAAAGGGGCCCCACATTTACATTTGTCACTGAGACTACTTTCTATTTAAAGTTATTCATGTCATGGCTTCCTCCATTTTTCCCTGATGACTATGAATCAACCGTTTTACCACTTAGTACTCCTAGAAGCATTAGTGCAAGGTGATAAAGGGATGAAAGAGGATGAAATTTTTTTAAAAATTTGTAGTTGTATATGGACAAAATGCCTTTATTTTATTTGTTTTTATATTTATGTGGTGCTGAGGATCGAACCCAATGCCTCACGCATGTTAGGCAAGCCACTGGGATTACAGGTGTGCAAGCACTCTGCCACTGAACTACAACCCCAGCGCAAGAGGATGAAATTAATGACTAAATTTAAGTTTGGAGATTACCTGCTGATATTAATAATTCACACAGAATTCTCTTACCTTGTCCCTTTGGCCACAGAGACTTGAAAGTAAGCTATTTTCTGGAATGAAAAGAAATGATCAGAACTTAAATCAAAGTTCTTAGGCACTTTTGCAGATTAAGATGAAGGGATCTTGGGAAGAGGCTTACAGGGAGCTGTATAATTATTCTCAATCACAGATAGAGAAACACTAGACCTTTTCAATCAAAGAGTTTTGCTATGGTGTCCTCCAGGGGCTTAGGATCATACACTCTCAGGGCTTACTTTAGCATATTAATATTTTTTAGGTTTGGACATTTTCACAGTGGCCTGTCTGTTTCCCTGGAGAATAGTGGAGAATTTCCTGGAAAAAACCCCACAGAGCTCAAGACAGCCACAGCCACAGCCCCACCCCTGCTGGCTCCTCTTTCAGCTGTCCCCACAAACAACAGTCAGCTCAGAGCAGCTGCAGACACTGCCCCTCCCTTCAGCCTCATGTGAGTGAGGAGGCAAAGGACAATTGCTAGTGCCTTATGACTTGACCCTTTTCTGTCTACCTCACAGACTGCACCACCATTTCTAACACCATCTCTATCTAACCTGGGCCAAAATGATGAGAAAGGGGACAAAAAAAATGTATCCTACAGTGATGACAGGAAGAGTGCAATTATTCCTAGGCACCACCCCCTCCACATTTATCCACCCACACATAGAAATGAGGGACCTTCTGAAGGATAGCCAGTGGCCCAGCTCCTTCTAGTGGTCAAGCCTGGTAAAAGTTTTCAAGGGCAGTTTTTGCATCAAGTAGTCACCAGCAGTGACTTGGGGCTTTCCTTTATAACTCCGGCAAAAATATCTGCAGCTTCTAAGCATTTTAACACAAACCTAGAAACTATTAGAACAATGGAAAATAACTTTGGGCCTGGGGATATAGCTTAGTGATAGAGCATCTGCTTGGCATGTACAAGGCCCTGGGTTCAATCCCCAACACTTCGAAAAATGAAAAATGGAAAAGAAAGAAGAAAAGAAAGAAAGAGAGGAAAACTGAATTTAAATAATACTATGATAATTTTACTGAGCACCTATAGAAAAGGGAGGATTGGCTGAGTGTGGTGGTACCTGCCTACAATCCCAGCATCTCTAGGATCACAAGATTAAGGCCAGCTTCAAAAACTTAGCAAGACCCTCAGCAACTTAGTAAGACCCTGTTTCAAAAGAAAATATAAAGGCCTGGGGATGTAGCTCATTGGTAGAGCACCCCAGGGTTCAATCCCCAGTATACACACACACACACA